CAAGAGCGAAAAAAAATTATTTGCTAGCAATGAATTGGTAGAGATGCATTTACGACGTTTTGTCGCCAAAAGGGCACGCAAACGTATCTGCGAAGCTACGCAGAACGTCGGCAAATAATTGCAGATTTTTCGGCGGGCCGTTTGTGGCTATTTTCAGCTTATAACCCTTTTTTGGCTTGCACCTTTAACCAAATTGGCTCCTACATATTGTTTTGTTATTTTTCTTATGAACATGCATCGTTTTCCAATAATTGCAATCTCCTGTATGGCAAGCTATCTTTGTTGCAATATAAGATGACATCGATGTTAGTGGATTATCGGCAGACTGTTAAACGTGGCTTCACTGTATAATGTTGTCCAACGACACTTATTAGTTAAAGTTCAATGACTGTTCAACTACTGCATAGCATCCAGAAGTGAACCCCGGGAAATCTGCTGACTGGATGAGACACTTCTTGTCTACCTCAACCTAGCTCTTAAATTGTACTCGCACCCAAATTGGCGTTAATCGCCATGCACACTTTTTTAGAAGGACAGATGAGCCATTATTTACCAATCGTAATTTGGTCACAGAAACGGACATTGTTTCAAGCTAAGCTAATCAATCCTCAAATCCATGTGCGTCAAGAATTGTCTGCGATTGAAATTTAAAAAGACGAGTCGAATTTTCTTGAGACACAGACATATAGAAAAGACATCTATAGAAATAAGAGTAGAAATTTCTAGTTTCTAATGTTTTTGAAGGAATTATTCGATTTTATAAATTTCTAGTACTTCTGAGCTATCAATCCTTCCTCCCCCCTCCAAAAAAAAATTGACGCAACTGTCTCTTTAAAACTATATTTTAAAGTAGAGTGAACACCATTTATCCCTTGGCCAAGAAAAATCTTTTGTCGAGGAACAAACAAATAGGTAACCAATGTTTATATTCAGTATTGGGCTCAATAAGAAAAAACTTTTAAGACATTATTTTAACACTATAGAGTGAACACTGTGTACCCCTTGGTCATACACATGTTTATATTCAGTATTGGGCTAAAAAATACTGTACTTCAAATTAGGTATGTAGAAAGATAAGTCTTTATAAATCAATGTGTAAGGTATTTAAATGTTGTCTGTAGTCACAAAATATAGTAGATATCACACAATAGCCTTTAACAGTTTGAAAGATAAAATGTATACCATGATAATCCTGTATAGGTGATAGCCACTTCATGGAATAGGTCTGAGTCTACTTTGAGATTGAAATGTTGGAAAACTTGAGTTAATGAGGCATGTTCATACAAAAAATTACAATCCATTATGTAAAAGCCAAATTGGTTAAAGGTGCAAGTCCAAATAAAACTTTAAATGACGGAACACAATTTTATAGTATACTGCTGCGGAGTGTTATTGTAAGATAGCTAGGCAGGCAAGGTAAAATACGCCCACTGGCAGCTTTGTTTGAAAATGAATGGGCAATAACTCATATCAAATAATTTTCGATATTTTTGATTTTCAATAGGGTTCATCTTTGGGTGATAATACACAATTTCACAAAGTTTCATCAAAATCCATCAAGAATTGTGCCCTGCAGAGTGTTTACGAGCTAAAAATTGAACGCGTTTTGAAAAACAAGGGCAATAACTCATATTAAATATTTTTCGATATTTTTTATTTTCAATTGGGTTCATCCTTGGGTGATAATAAACAACTTCACCAAGTTTGGTCAAAATCCAGCAAGAATTGTGGCATGTAGAGTGTTTACAAGCTAAAATTGAACGCGTTTTGAAGAACAAGGGCAATAACTCAAATTAAATATTTTCAATTTTTTTATTTTCAATAGAGTTTATCCTTGGGTGATAATAAACAACTTCACCAAGTTTCATCAAAATTCAGCAAGAATTGTGGCATGTAGGGTGTTTACAAGATAAAAATTGAACGCGTTTTGAAGAACAAGGGCAATAACTCATATGAAATATTTTTCAATTTTTTTGATTTTCAATAGTGTTTATCCTTGGGTGATAATGAAAAACTTCACCAAGTTTCATCAAAATTCAGCAAGAATTGTGGCATGTAGGGTGTTTACAAGATAAAAATTGAACGCGTTTTGAAGAACAAGGGCGATAACTCATATTAAATATTTTTCGATTTTTTTTATTTTCAATAGGGTTTATCCTTTGGTGATAATAAACAACTTCACAAAGTTTGGTCAAAATCCAGAAAGAATTGTGGAATGTAGAGGGTTTACAAGCTAAAATTTGAACGTGTTTTGAAGAACAAGGGCAATAACTCATATTAAATATTTTTACGATTTTTTTTATTTTCAATAGGGTTTATCCTTGGGTGATAATAAACAATTTCAGTAAGTTTCGTCAAAATCTGTCAAGAATTATGCCTTCTAGAGTATTTACAAGCAAATTGTGGACGGACGGACGGACATGGGTGACGACAATATAGGCTCCACATTTTATGTGGGCGTATGTAAAGGGGTCAAAATTTAAGTCGTAGATGTGATGATGCTTAGAACGTGTGTAAACGAAAATGGTCACCATGCAATTTGATATGAGGGAAATATTTGACAGGGCAGCAGCATTTGTGTACATTTTTTCAATTTGATAGATTGATGCATCAGTTTATTGTCGTATCAGAATTTTTTATCACATTTTCCACATCAGTCTCTCTCCCAACCTTCATCATTGACAGGGAGAGATTAGGTAAAAAAAACCTTGGAATCTATGCTAGTCTGGACCTGGACCTTCAGGTTAACAATCATTTGCCTAAAGTACTGAGCAACCCAGACCCTCTTATTTTGACAAACCCTTATAGTAATAATACAGTTATATCATAATACATGTGCTTTAATTACAGATATATTTTTCTGCTATAGTATCGCCATCTGATGGGCCTCTACGGAAAGTTTCAGGTATGTTGTGAAGGGTTACGTTATATATAAAACAATCTCCCTTATTTCCCAAATAACTCAACAGTAAACATTCATTCATTTGGTTACACTTTTCTATACATTGATTCAGATCTGTAAACACAGATATCGAGATGAGTGGTGTTGAAAATAGAGCACAAAACCTAGAATCCGCTCTTGCTGTGCTGCATCGGGTATTGTTCTTACATTCTTCATCACATTCCTTCTGGTTCTTGATATTTATTATCTCAACAAAGGATATAGGATGTAATATTATGTTATTTCTATATTCGTAGCATTCTGAAATATAAATTACTAAGTTACGATAACATATATAGTTCTGAAATATATATTACTTAGTTATGATAACATATATAGTTCTGAAATATATATTATTAAGTTATGATAACATATATAGTTCTGAAATATAAATTATTCAGTTATGATAACATATATAGTTCTGAAATATATATTACTTAGTTATGATAACATATATAGTTCTGAAATATATATTATTAAGTTACGATAACATATATAGTTCTGAAATATATATTACTTAGTTATGATAACATATATAGTTCTGAAATATATATTATTAAGTTATGATAACATATATAGTTCTGAAATATAAATTACTAAGTTACGATAACATATATAGTTCTGAAATATATATTACTTAGTTATGATAACAAATATAGTTCTGAAATATATATTACTTAGTTATGATAACATATATAGTTCTGAAATATATATTACTTAGTTATGATAACATATATAGTTCTGAAATATATATTACTTAGTTATGATAACATATATAGTTCTGAAATATATATCATTAAGTTATGATAACATATATAGTTCTGAAATATATATTACTAAGTTATGATAACATATAAAGTTCTGAAATATAAATTATTAAGTTACGATAACATATATAGTTCTGAAATATAAATTACTAAGTTATGATAACATATATAGTTCTGAAATATATATTACTTAGTTATGATAACATATATAGTTCTGAAATATATATTACTTAGTTATGATAACATATATAGTTCTGAAATATATATTACTTGGTTATGATAACATATATAGTTCTGAAATATAAATTACTAAGTTATGATAACATATATAGTTCTGAAATATAAATTACTAAATTATGATAACATATATAGTTCTGAAATATATATTACTTGGTTATGATAACATATATAGTTCTGAAATATAAATTACTAAGTTATGATAACATATATAGTTCTGAAATATAAATTACTAAGTTATGATAACATATATAGTTCTGAAATATATATTACTAAGTTATGATAACATATATAGTTCTGAAATATATATTATATATTACTTAGTTATGATAACATATATAGTTCTGAAATATATATTACTTAGTTATGATAACATATATAGTTCTGAAATATAAATTACTAAGTTATGATAACATATATAGTTCTGAAATATAAATTATTAAGTTATGATAACATATATAGTTCTGAAATATAAATTACTAAGTTATGATAACATATATAGTTCTGAAATATAAATTACTAAGTTACGATAACATATATAGTTCTGAAATATATATTACTAAGTTATGATAACATATATAGTTCTGAAATATATATTACTTAGTTATGATAACATATATAGTTCTGAAATATAAATTACTTAAGTTATGATAACATATATAGTTCTGAAATATATATTACTTAGTTGTGAAACATATATAGTTCTGAAATATATATTACTTAGTTATGATAACATATATAGTTCTGAAAAATATAGAACTAAGTTGTGAAACATATATAGTTCTGAAATATAAATTACTAAGTTATGATAACATATATAGTTCTGAAATATATATTACTTAGTTATGATAACATATATAGTTCTGAAATATAAATTACTAAGCTATTGAAAATAAAAAAATCGAAAAATATTTAATATGAGTTATTGCCCTTGTTCTTCAAAACGCGTTCAATTTTTATCATGTAAACACCCTACATGCCACAATTCTTCCTGAATTTTGATGAAACTTGGTGAAGTTTTTCAATATCACCCAAGGATAAACACTATTGAAAATCAAAAAAATTGAAAAATATTTCATATGAGTTATTGCCCTTGTTCTTCAAAACGCGTTCAATTTTTATCTTGTAAACACCCTACATGCCACAATTCTTGCTGAATTTTGATGAAACTTGGTGAAGTTGTTTATTATCACCCTAGGATAAACACTATTGAAAATAAAAAAATTGAAAATATTTAATTTGAGTTATTGCCCTTGTTCTTCAAAACGCGTTCAATTTTAGCTTGTAAACACTCTACATGCCACAATTCTTGCTGGATTTTGACCAAACTTGGTGAAGTTGTTTATTATCACCCAAGGATGAACCCAATTGAAAATAAAAAATATCGAAAAATATTTAATATGAGTTATTGCCCTTGTTTTTCAAAACGCGTTCAATTTTTAGCTCGTAAACACTCTGCAGGGCACAATTCTTGATGGATTTTGATGAAACTTTGTGAAATTGTGTATTATCACCCAAGGATGAACCCTATTGAAAATCAAAAATATCGAAAATTATTTGATATGAGTTATTGCCCATTCATTTTCAAACAAAGCTGCCAGTGGGCGTATTTTACCTTGCCTGCCTAGCTATCTTACAATAACACTCCGCAGCAGTATTCTATAAAATTGTGTTCCGTCATTTAAAGTTTTATTTGGACTTGCACCTTTAACCAATTTGGCTTTTACATAATGGATTGTAATTTTTTGTATGAACATGCCTCATTAACTCAAGTTTTCCAACATTTCAATCTCAAAGTAGACTCAGACCTATTCCATGAAGTGGCTATCACCTATACAGGATTATCATGGTATACATTTTATCTTTCAAACTGTTAAAGGCTATTGTGTGATATCTACTATATTTTGTGACTACAGACAACATTTAAATACCTTACACATTGATTTATAAAGACTTATCTTTCTACATACCTAATTTGAAGTACAGTATTTTTTAGCCCAATACTGAATATAAACATGTGTATGACCAAGGGGTACACAGTACTATTAAAATAATGTCTTAAAAGTTTTTTCTTATTGAGCCCAATACTGAATATAAACATTGGTTACCTATTTGTTTGTTCCTCGACAAAAGATTTTTCTTGGCCAAGGGATAAATGGTGTTCACTCTACTTTAAAATATAGTTTTAAAGAGACAGTTGCGTCAATTTTTTTTGGAGGGGGGAGGAAGGATTGATGCTCAGAAGTACTAGAAATTTATAAAATCGAATAATTCCTTCAAAAACATTAGAAACTAGAAATTTCTACTCTTATTTCTATAGATGTCTTTTCTATATGTCTGTGTCTCAAGAAAATTCGACTCGTCTTTTTAAATTTCAATCGCAGACAATTCTTGACGCACATGGATTTGAGGATTGATTAGCTTAGCTTGAAACAATGTCCGTTTCTGTGACCAAATTACGATTGGTAAATAATGGCTCATCTGTCCTTCTAAAAAAGTGTGCATGGCGATTAACGCCAATTTGGGTGCGAGTACAATTTAAGAGCTAGGTTGAGGTAGACAAGAAGTGTCTCATCCAGTCAGCAGATTTCCCGGGGTTCACTTCTGGATGCTATGCAGTAGTTGAACAGTCATTGAACTTTAACTAATAAGTGTCGTTGGACAACATTATACAGTGAAGCCACGTTTAACAATCTGCCGATAATCCACTAACATCGATGTCATCTTATATTGCAACAAAGATAGCTTGCCAGACAGAAGATTGCAAATATTGGAAAACGATGCATGTTCATAAGAAAAATAACAAAACAATATGTAGCAGCCAATTTGGTTAAAGGTGCAAGCCAAAAAAGGGTTATAAGCTGAAAATAGCCACAAACGGCCCGCCGAAAAATCTGCAATTATTTGCCGACGTTCTGCGTAGCTTCGCAGATACGTTTGCGTGCCCTTTTGGCGACAAAACGTCGTAAATGCATCTCTACCAATTCATTGCTAGCAAATAATTTTTTTTTCGCTCTTGCGAAGCTGTCGTGATCCAGTGAGAAGGCTTGCGATGCCTTACGATCAACGAAGAAGCACGGTGAACATTCTGCATATGCCACTGTGAAGCATTGAGATTGTCAATGTTTGTTCCTTCGCAATCGGTTCGCAAACCCAGTGGGACTGAGGTTTTTATATACCAACTCACACATGTCGCCAACATGTCTGGAAATATTCGGCTAAGTTAGGCAATACCTTTGGCGGATAATCGCCAAATAGGACAGAAAATTCTGAAACATCGCCAATACAATATTTTCAGATATATCGGCAACAGTCACCGTCAATCGTCGGCCATCGACGATTTATTTCGGTCATGGTCAGCAGATCCATAGCAGATTATCGGCGATCATCACAAAACTATCGCTTAATATTGCAGATTAATCTCCGTTCTACTATTTCTACCATTTTGTCCTGTCCATCGCAAAACACAAGCAAAACTTTTTCACGTGTCCCCATCAAAATACCATCGCCGATTCCTGAATTCTCAGTGGGACTGGGGCTTAGTTGATGCAAATATTTTTAACAGTTCAAGGGAGAGAACTGATCACAAAAGACAAATATCTAAACTATAACAACCCTTTTCATTGGGATTCTGGTGAAGAAAGTATTATCAGCCTAAAAGACAAAACTAGTTGGTTCATTTCTTCAAAGATAACGGTAACGAGTGAATGTAATTTGCTAAATCAAAATGGCTATAAGTAAGAGAATACTACAGTTTCTAGCAACGTCGGATATTTTAAACATATGATTGCAATAATGGACATTTTTGGCAGAACAGCAGCATTAGTGTACACTTTTTCAATTTCCTACTGTTGATACAATGATGCATAAATTTATTGTTGAATCCGAATTTTTTATCACCTTTTCGACATCAGCCCCCCTCCCAACCTTCATCATTCACAGGGAGAGATCAGGTAAAAAAAATACCCTTGGAATCTATGCAAGTTACTAGTCTGGACCTGGACCTTCAGGTTAACAATCATTTGTCTAAAGTACTGAGCAAACCAGACCCTCTTATTTTGACAAACCCTTATAGTAATAATACAGTTATATCATAATACATGTGCTTTAATTACAGACATATTTTTTCTGCTACAATTTCGTCAGTTGATATGCCCCTTAGGAAATCTACAGGTATATCGTCCATGGTACCGTTGAAAATAGTACAGCGATTCTCACGTCCCTTATAAGCCAACAATACACATTCATTCATCTGGTTACACTTGTCTATATATTGATTCAGATCTGTTAACTCAGATATCAAGATGAGTGGTGTTGAAAAAAAAAAACAAATTGTACCATCCAATTTACTAAAGCTACAGTGGGTGTTGTTTCTACAGATTTCATCACATTCCGTCATGTTCATAACTTCTGTAGCATTGAAATAGTAAGGATCTATGTATGTATTATTTGTATATTCGAAATAACATTCTGAAACATAAATTACTTAGTTATAATAATATTTGATTTTTCTATCAACTTTTTTATGTAAATGAGATGACGTCATTAATCGCAAAGTGCTTTATGTGATACAAGCATAATTTGACGTCATCAAACTCTTAGTTTTAGCAGGTTTTAGTTTAGTTTTAGTCTCCCTGATAGGCCTAAACATAAACAGTTAAGAAAGTCCATTGACAATCTCCTTAAGCACTCTATAAGTTGCTCATCTGATATTATTAAATTGGTTGGTTGGCAAATGACAAGTTCACGTTCGCTTCCAGCGGATACTGATATCGCAAACTAGGCAGTTGTTGGTAGTCGTAGTAGTTGGTAGTTGGATTGGTTATTATTAAATTATGACTTCGCCAATCATTCGGAATAACACCTAAAAAGTCTTCGGTCATCAACCAATGAACGCAGACAAATCTAAATTTAGTTCTTATATAAATCTTACAGTCATAATTTAATCATAAGATTTATATAAGGATTGAACTTAGATTTGTCTGCGTTCATTAGTTGATGACCGAAGACTTTTTAGGTGTTAATTCGAATGATTGGCGAAGCCATTCATGTTTGACGTAACACGTGAAAATTATGCCTTCATCAACCAATGAACGCAAACAATTTACATGCAATCTGTATTTATATTCGGTGGTGTTCAGGAATCAATCACCTTTAAAGTGATACTACATCTTAGAATTAACATAAAATATAAGAATTTTAAACTTGGCCAATAAGAGCCAGTAGATATACCTGGTGTCATAAATAACATAACCGGATCCTTATATTATCCGATAAATCTTAAAAAAATGCAATTAACTATTGAAAAACGCTGAATATTATGATTAAGCGTTTTTCAATAATTACTTAGTTTTATGAATTTTCCAATTTTCTAGATTTTACAGGGGTACTGTTTTAACTTTATGACACCAGGTAAGCTAACTGATGAATATATACTCATATTGACCATTTCTAGAACTTAGATTTTATGTTCATTCTAAGACGTAGTATCCCTTTAAGAATATCATGTCATTGAGACGTCATTTCGTCATTGGAGATAACTACGGAAATATGTAGTTCATCGGTAAATGAATACAAATTTTTCACATGGCTTCATTGTAGGCCTAGAACGTGGCAATAAAATGTAAATACGCTGTATATAGGTAAATGAATGGAATACTGAGTTGATGAATCAACGAAACAGTGGCAACAGAATTACCCAAACTTGCCATGGTGACTAAGAATAGGCCTTCCTGAAGTTGCCATGGTGACTACACAACAAGAGTAGACCTTCCTGAAGTTGCCATGGTGAATACACAATAAGAATAGGCCTTCCTTAAGTTGCCATGGTGAATACACAATAAGAATAGGCCTTCCTGAAGTTGCCATGGTGAATACACAATAAGAATAGGCCTTCCTGAAGTTGCCATGGTGTACCGTAATACCTAAATTTGCCATGGTGACTACATAACATTTCTTATCCGATTAGCGTTAAGCTCTTGACTTTAAGTCATTGGATTGGAGCCCCACTATAAATATTATGACAAACTATAGTGAAACACGTCATACTCATTTCTTCCGAACCTGATGCTTCTCTGACATTGGATTTGTCAACACAACATTCCATTAACCAACCAAGCAAACATTGTTTTTTTTTTAAAATCAAATTCAAGAATTAAAATAAACTATCATACCTGGGGGTTTACAGAATGGTTCTTGATATTTCCATTCTCCATCTACACATTCCATACCTAGTTGCATTGTGTATCCCTTTTCACAGGTCAATAGTACATCTCCACAGTTTTCATTGAACTGAGCGTTTGTAACATTAGGAAACTTTAAGCAAGCTGTAAATTTCATTTTGTTATTATTATATTTAATATTACTGCTCTACACACAACAACTCGACTATTAAAACAATGACTATTGGTCTGTTGTCTCAAAAGCTATGTTGAACAACTATTTACCACCGCAAATAGACGAAGATGTGTTGTTATGGCTTGAAAACGTCCATTAATAAAAAGAATGGATTTAGAATTTCGACTTCAGATTGAAAGAAGAGCACATCAAATAAATTTACCACCATATTAGATAATAAGTTAGATATTTACCAGCATCAATGAGATTTATTGCTGTTACGGACAACAACACTACGAAGCATAATAGGTTCTTCATGGTTCTAACGTTTGCAATACCAAGACTCTTTGATACACTGTCGAATGTTAGATTTGATGTAGAAATTTATACTAAATTCAAAGCCTCCTACTGGACAGATGTTGATTTAATCATTGTCAATCAATATTTTACACCAGGAGATCAGTGAATGGTGCAATGGATGAAATCATGTACATAATATTTTAATGAAATGCAACTTTTTGAAGTAAAGTTGCCATTATGTCGTGTCAATATTTTACCAAAGTGTTAAAAGTGTCAAATGTTGAGATAATATTGCACAAATTGCAAAATTGGTTCCTTTTTAGATTACTTGGATAATAAGACCCAAATACAAACCAAGTTTCATCAGAATACAATTATGCATGTGCGAGTCTATTTTTAAGAGATTTTTGAGTATCATTATTTTTATCATTTTTCCTACAAAATCTGACAGAAACAATGATTTAACCACAGAGTTAATGCGTTTTTATTCACATTTAAATTAGATTTGATATCAGAATATTTTAAGATAAATAAGGAAAAAAATGGCGAATTTGTAAAACGACGAACATGGGAATTTGTTGCATTTAGCATCTTATCTTTTTTAAGACCAGGGCCCGTATGCATAAAACAAAAATATTTCTTTAATTTTTAAGGATATCCTTAGAATCTTCCTTAGGTTATATCCTCAATTAAAGTGGTATGTATAGAGTCTTAAAGACGGCTTTCCTTATTTCTTAAGCAAACTGTTTGATTATTTGGTCTTGATTATATGAATTATCATGTATTCTTAATCATATCATTATTTTATTCTTGCATATAATTAATAGTTTTAACCAATCATAAATGGCAATGTATGTACAGTCTGGATAAACAAAAAAAAAAACTCTTTGACCTCGGAATTGTTGAGATAGAAAAAGTTTGCGACGACCTATAATATTCCGTGAACGTGAGACCCCTATGGATATCTGCAATGATCAAGAGTTGTACATGAGATTTCGCTTTGACAAAGCTAGAATTCTCTTCATCACAGATCTACTGGCTATTTAAATAGAGCCCCGTACCTACCATGCTATCCCTCCTTTTCTACAGGTGTTGGCTGCCCTGAGGTATTATGCATGTGGTAGTGTCCAACAGGTTATTTCAGACACCATAAAGATACACCAAAGAACAGTATGTCGGATTGTCCATATAGTTACCTGTGCTCTTCTTAGAATGAATTTATCAGCTTTCCCACCTGCTATCAAAGCTGCCTTTTTTGAAATAGCTAATTTCCCAAATGTAATAGGTGGAAGATAAAAAAAGATAGATTGTAGGGCAAGGAAATATACGCCCACTGGCAGCTTTGTATTTAAAGATATTAAAATATTTGGCAGTCCAGTAACAGAATGAAATGAAATATTCAACCTTCAGTCAGGCAAAAATCAAGCCTTTAAAAACAGTAATGTACAGGTTTTGATATATAATGGTGACAAAAGGGAAATTGATCTGTTTCGTGCATCTAAATGAAACGGGCAGTAGATCAAATAATGTTCACATCGATGATCACAAATGTATGCAGGTTATCCGAAACGTGACGTGAAATTTGTCTCTGTTTAAATCACTGTAGGCATTGTAAAATTGCAAAATTGTCAATGACGTTACTGGTCTTCATTAGCCCAATCAGATGCAGAAAAGTAGTGCGTAAAACGTTTAGACACCACAGGACCAAATCTATTTGGTTGATATTGATTTTAATGTCTCTTTAATTCTGTTTGCTTATTGCATATATTATACGTGGTATGGTAAACAACACTGGTGGAACCAAATACATCGTTAGTCACATATTTAAGCTACACATTTTATTCAAATGATATCAACTAAATCTACTATGTATATATTGGTATTGATGACAACACTGGTGGAACAAACTTTTTATTGCGACGAAAGAATATGTTAACAGTACAATACAGTATAATGTCCTTATAAAAGAAATTCCTGTTATTATGAGATTGGATTGTTTTTGTAGCATGGATCACATCTTTTGATTTCTGAGAAGGAAAGAATTTGATGTTTGAATGTACCTGACTAGAGTGAGACTGAAACTTCATTAAGAGGTTGAGGAAAATCTACATGCCCATTGTATGTAAATCTACATGCCCATTGTATGTAAATCTACATGCCCATTGTATGTAAATCTACATGCCCATTGTATGTAAATCTACATGGCCCATTGTATGTAAATCTACATGATCCAGTGTATTATACCATCTTATGGAGATTTATATATATATGCGTATGTTTTTTGTTTAGCCTAATATTTATTTTATTAACTTTAAGTGGCCTTATTATTTTGTATTGACCTTTTTTACCCCAAATATGAAACTATTACTATTGTTTTAATGATGCCAAGATTATTAAATGTGCTAGCACTGTGTTATTAAGAATTCATTTTATGAGATAAAAGACACAAATAAGGGAATGTTATAATTCAATTTACATAACATACTGATAACACTCTCTGTTTTAGAACCTGTGTGAGTTGGACCTTGTGACTGAGAAGTAAAAAGATCAAATCAACTGTTTTATTATCAGCCCTCTTTAACACCTGTCAATCATTTTAAACCTTTACATTTTGTAAAAAATTAATGATTTGAAATATTGTTAACAGGAAACATTGGTACATTGTCTTCTCAGTTAGATATAAGTCATGGTGTACACAGAGTTTATTAAAACCATAATATCATAAAACCATAAATATGTGGACAATGCTGAATCTTACAAGATATGATACGATATTTGACGATTAACTGAAATATAATTCTATATATATTAACTACTCATATATAATTTGGCAAGAGACTCTTTAAATACTACAGAATGTAAACACAGCTATTCGAGAAATTGTACTTTCACTTTCCATATAAGGCAATTGACAGTGCGCGCTAATCATGCGTGACTGCTCATTGACGATAGAAAGATTTCAGACCCAAACTTTACATATAAATTACAGGACAAATACAAAATGACAGGAGGTTTAGGACAGCTAGAAATGTTCCACGATATACATTAAATAAGATAACATAAAAACATACTAAATTGTCAACCACTAATCTCCGCAAATAACAGAAATAAGTTTAAAGACTTGACCAGAATGTCAGCCATGCTCTTTGAGAAGGATGCTTTTACGTAACGTTGGCCAGCTCGTGTTACTATCGGCTAGGGGGGTATATTAACCTGTGCTCTACAACAGGCTTTAGGTATAAAAGATTCATCGGCAGATTGAAATGAGAAATATAGTAGCCCTGTCCTTGCAAATTTTTCCCAGTGTACGTCTTAATGGCGTTGCCGGTCTTCATTAGCCCATTTCGGTCTGGAACGGGGACTAAATGATTTATTACAACATAACCAGAAGGTAATATTACAAGAGCCAATATAAGTATATTCACACACACACAAACGTCAATAACAAATTGTAGGTTTTACTTGGACAAATTTTATCGATGTAATACACAATAAGATTACCATAAGCTTACCAAATTTGGCGTATTCTGGTGTGTAAGTGATCCCAATAAAAAAAAGGCCATGGTATGTACACGTCCAATGTCTTATTACTATCGACAACAAGAAGAGGCTAGGATATTAATAGGTTTCTTAAAAATATCGAAATAAAGGCTCTGTTCCATGAAAGCTTTGTAAACGGGTTTACTTTAAACTGTAAACGCTTTGTAATGTAAACAAGTCTAACTGTAGACAAGTTCCTGTTGTTATTAGGCTCTACTTGCAGGATGCAGGATAAGAAATACTAGTCTATATCAACTATAATTTATTAACATTCATTAACTGGAGATCTACACTAATCCGAGAAGTATAAATTAGAAAATTAGAAGGATCCGATCCTCTCCCCAGCTAAAGAATGAATGATCCAAACCCTAACTACATTCCTATTTATCTCTTCCACCAGATGTCCAACATATGAAATATTTCTTTCGAAAAAAAAATCCCTTGCAGTTCCTTAACCCTTATAGTAATGTCTGACCGAGCATAAACGATTCCTTTACTATACCCCTATAGTTTCTTAATCTCTCAGTGTCCCCTTTCCTGTCGACATGGGATAGGTCTCCTTTGTATACATACCTTCTGTTTCTAATTACTTACATAACCACCTCGCCGATGTTAATTTAAAAGTGTTGCAGATTACAGATTAAAGGCTACCCCCCGTGATTACCCTTATAGTTTCTTCTGGACTAATGTAGCTGTCTTACAACGATAAGAAATATAACAGCTATATGTACTTACAATCATCAATTCCTTTGGTAGTTAGGTCAACTAAGTTTTTGTTATATACTGATCTATTGTTCTCAAGGGGTCTTTCTTTCATAGAGCCTTGATTACCATTACCATTCATTCTATCTCGCATCATGTCACTGGGAACAGTTGGTACAGCCAGTCTCCCACACTGGGGATCTGGGTTTCTATTGTTGTTCTGTCCCCATTCTGCAATATGTGATCGAGATTATAATCTCTAACATTCGATGGAGCATTGATAACTTGTGGGTATACGTTTCCAGGATTTCTATTGTTTCGTATCGTTTCAGGATCTTGCTGGGACCTTCCACTCTGCGTTGTTGTCTGTTGATTATTTCCATAATTCATATTGTTTCATAACTCGCAACGTTGTTTGAACGCCGATTTCCAGATGGCGGTGAACCTACATTCTGCCCATATTGACGATTATCACTATGCTCACATCTACCCATCATACCATTAAATATGGTACCACAGGGGAATTCCATTGGCCGGAATCTGAAAGCCTTCTGCCAACAGGAGATTTACATACGGGGATCGCCGGGCGTTGGAAGGTTACCTTCTTCATCATTATTACACAGTCTGTCAAATGAAATATATCATGGGAAATTTACAACATATTACCCAACATATGTACATTAAAGAGAAATGTATACCATGTTATATGTACTGCAAATCGTAACTAACTCGAAGCAGCATATGTTCATCTAAAACCAACAGACCTCATGGAAACATATAGGTCTCTTGACGTCTCGGGAAACTACAACGACCACTTTGACCGGAAGTAGTTCCCCATATCAAGGCAGTGACACGCAATAGAATCATGTCGCAGAAAAAAAACACCCAGTCCTCAGCTGTGGTTTTAGAAACTTATAACAATTATTATGTGATAAACTACACCGGATAAAAGAACATCGTCTGTGCCAGATACTAATGCACAGGGTCTTCCGATTGAAGTTTTCGAGAAAACTGTGCGTTCGTCATGCTCGTCATTGGAATCAAAGTCTGCGGTAAAATCGTCAGGCAATTCGTCATGGGCGGGTTTATCAGTGTCAATAACTAATAAGTCTTTGTCAATTCGCGCGCCATGGTTTTTGGAACGAATGCGAGACAAAACATCAGCTTGACGTTTTTTCGAACCAGGCATATTCTTGATATCACACAGCATTTCCCCAAGCATAATACTCCAACTGCAATACTCTTTCGGGGCAGTCTTGCGTTAATACATCACCTACTGCGTATTTGGACGCATCTGTGTATAACTTATAGGGTTTAGTTAAGTCAGGATAGGTTAATATAGGGGCTGATATAAGCTTCTCTTTTAGTGTTTTAAAACTAGCGTCTACTTCAGGTCTCCATATAAATTTGGCATTTTTCTTAGTCAGTGTGCAATTTCAGAAAAACGAGAATAAACTTCCGGTAATAAGGGGCCATACCTATGAATGAACGTATTTGTTTAACATTTTTAGGCGCTAACATGTCTTGTATGGCACTAACTCTTTATGGTTGGGCTTACTACCATCCTATGACATAATATGACCAGGATATCTTTGGATAGATCTCGTAAAAGGCAACCACCTTTGTGCTACTCACAAAAGGTCACCAAATGTCAGGGTCACAAGATATGAGCCTTGAAATTTTTTCCGATATTGAAAAAATCAACCGGAAATAACTCGAAGGTAAAATCGAAATTCAAAAAAGGCTCCCACACGATTGTTAGAAATCGTTCACTAATAATATAGACATTAAAATAATGTAAATCCGATTAAAAACTGATCCCAAAAAGTGGTTTTATAGACAATTTAGTCATATCAAGATGGCGGTTCATCTAATACTTCCGGGACGAATTTTATCATTTGAAATCTTTTTATAAACAATTCTAGCATGTCTCAAAAAGAATTTTTCAAATATTTATAAATTTCCGTAAGTTAAAATTTAACGTTTACATGCATATGGCGCCAGAACCGGAAGTGATATCAAACTTTTTAGTTTGCAATCAAAATATCAATCTACCTGTACAAAAAAATTAAAAATTTAAAAATCAAAAAGTCAGTGTCTAACGTCAAAATTTTTAATTTGGCATTAAATACTTTTGTTAAATATAATAAGAAAAAGCACAAAAAGTCCATTCAGAATCTGAATACAATAACCATCTATCTTAATTAGGTCACGTGATAGAGCAGTTCAAAGTTGAAAATTGTGCTGTCTTTGGACAGCTATAAGACCGGAAGTAGAAATCGGAGATCAAATATAACAGTATCAACCGATAGTCAATGTCAATGGCCTTTAATTCTGTAAAGGTCAGTGTGACCCAACGCCAAGGTCACTAGTAATCAGCCTTTAAACGAAAAAATTCAACCGGAAATTGTAAAAAGGCGAAATTCAAAAATCCGCTTCCCACTTTTTTCTTTGATTTTTTTGCTCTTTCATTTAAAATCATCAAAATCGGATGAGCCGTTATCTCTGAATAAAATTTTGACGCATTTCAAGAAAATGCAAATGGCGGCCAAACTATCAATTTTCGTGTCTGGTAAATTTTCTCTGATTTTGTAAGTCATAACGATATGTACCTTTAAGTATACGTTTCAGTTACATTCATTCATAATACAGGAAGTGGGCCAACCGGAAGTTTGCACATCGGTTTCGTGAAAACCGGAAGTGATGCAAAGATTTTGATTATGCCAAATTGTTTTCTGTTGCAAATATTAGAAAAAATCGAAAATTTCCTCAAAATTTGCAAAATTCGGCTCAAAAATGTGTGCTACGAATGTTCAAAATTGGAAACTTTTAAAACGCTAACCTATTGGATATTCCTGCGAGATCCCATAATTGAAAATTCGCTCAAAAAATGCTCCTTCCAGAGCAAATTTTCTACTTTTTGCACATTTTGCACTGTGTAACTAACCGTTTTGCAAACATGTTCCAATTTATATTCCACAAATGTAGATGTAAGGTATTGCCATATTGCTGCAACTATTACACATTCTTCAGATTAGGCGACACAAAATCATATTTTTTTTAAATTTCGAAAACAAAACAGTGTGTTCGATGGAACGCACTACAAAAAAGACACATGACAAAATTCGTATTAAAAACCACTCATCGTGTGGAATTATGTTGTTTAGCATCGTAACTGGCATTCTGTTTTCCCGGCTGGGATCAAATCTGAGCAGACACACACTCGTCGAAATCTGGACATGACTGTACCCTCAGCACACTGACCTACTACCTCCAGTCCACCATTGCAGTGGGTATATTTGGTACAATCGCTTGGTACACGCTGATAGATGCAGGCTGAAATATATAGAGAAAGTTTAATTGTCGTACAAAGTCATTCGGATCAGTGGCTCAACTACCACAGATAGTGGTTGAATCAAGGCCACGCGTCCCCACCCCCAGAAAAAATGCAGGGGAGGAGCTCCACTCATTTAGTTGATCGAATGATTCCGATCTGAGAAAGTGATGGACGAAACTGATCAATCGTTGGGGTTAGTGCCTCGATATGAGCGTGTCAAACTTGTCGACAACGACTGGGCCAATGGCATGCTTTTCATCTACGGTCGGCGTGGGTCAACCTTTAGGCTATCTAAGATTTTACACAAAAGGAGGATAAAGGAAACACTACACATGTTTGAAATCACGGTTGGTAATAACAGTAAAGATATACTTTAGATCATGTTCATTGGGCAGCACTACTCGATCTTGAAAGAAAAAGGTATCCAAATACAATCAAGCAATTAACGACGGGTCCATTACAGTTAGAAAGCGCTGAGTGGTTGTCATTGGTGTATAACTAAGTTTAGGTTTCTGAAATAGTTCGTGCAAGAATCAAAATAATCGTATGATATTACCTAAGTTTCCAATAATATCTGGTTCATGTACAGATCGATACCCATAGTAAAACTTCTGTTATCATTTTTTGGTACTTTGCTCTCTATCTGTTCAGATGGCACTTCCGAGTCAGCATGGTCACAGATTCCCTTCTTTTGGTTGAAAATCAAATCATTGGAGCAAGACATCGGCAGGAATCGAAAGTGATACTTCCAACACAATACAAACTTACTCAGAGGGAACAGCTTAGAAGAACAAAGTTGATCGTTTTTTTACTCAGATATCTCGTGTTTCAGAATGAATGATACAAGCAGTGAAATGACGTGGTATTTGTGGGCAATCACAGCACCTAGAATCGAGCAATTCATACTTACATTTGGCATAGTAGTCGGGAATAATATCACAGTCGACATTTTCAGTATTAGAAACACATTTTCCAATCCAGGGGTTACAGATTTCATCGTCTTTACATGGTCTTCTCAAATATTCCCTTCTATTGTTACATTGATAGTAGTAGGTACAGTCCCCTTTTACCATATAGATACGACCCATCGTCTCATTGCTCTGGTGGAAGTTACAGTGAGCACTCTGGGCTATAGCTACTCCCAAGAGAGCTGCTGCTGCATTGTACAAATCTGAAACCTGAATTAAAATTTCAAATCAATGCTAGTGGTTTATATAGGTATATTTAATGGGTGTTAGGTCTCTACTAAAGTCGAGTTGCACAATATAGATAATAGAGTGAAAACGAAAAGTCAGACACGATATTTCGGTGAAAAATTGTCAGATCATCACGAACATCGATAGGGATCATCTTCATAATAACATTGACCCACAAAATAAAAAGCAAATGTGAACGAACGGACCGATGGGCGATTACTGTATACGACCAAATTATTATATGGGCGTATAAAAAAGTGGAATACCCCTTTAAATATACATTCGTTGTCATTTCCAATATTATTCATAGTATTTGGTGGAAATTTAGTTTCCGATTTTAGATCGTTTTTAACTCAATTCAGGCAGTTCGGAACTTTACACGCACTGGGTAGGTAGGTAATTGACTAGTCAACGTTCGCTGCCAGTGTAAACTAGGTATAGTTGTTGGTAGTCGTAGTGGTTAGTAGATGGATTGGTCAAACTGTTGAATATTGATCTGGCGTCTGTCATTTTGAATACTCTCAATGATGTTGATGTATGAAGTGTCAAAGTCTCATGTGTTGAATATTGATCTGGCATCTGTCATTTTGAATACTCTCAATTTAAAGCGATTTAAGTTTATGTAGATAACAGGCACTAGCAACTAACACAATACTTAACGAGCAAAAAAATCATTCTTTCTTCCAGAAACCACAAAATGAGGGTTGATTTGGGCCTTGAATAAATTGTGTTGCAGCTAAAATACCAATGGCGTCATTACAAAATGCATTTGTCAAGTACAATTGTCGATTTGTAAAAATGAAGAATGTATAAGTATTATCCAAATACAAAGAAATGTCACACAAATGCAGAAAACGTTTAACACATTCAGTTGAAATTTAAAGATGCAACACAATCGACATTTTTCGCAACGTTATACTTCCATACAAAAATACCTCAAACTAGGAATTTCACTTTTTATATATTTCATTCACAAGCTTATCACAATTCAGAAAATTTGGGTATCCCAAAGATGTAAATCTTGGTAAGTCTATGAGAGGAAATGACGTCGCTGCACAATAAATATTGATTTATCAAGTTCTTCAAAAATACTTACACATGGCTAAGAAGGTTCAAATGGCGGCGGTAAGCTGTGAAAACTACTACTGATTAGTTGAGCGGAACAAGTCCCATTTCTGACTAAGATACGTTTGACACCAGAATATGGCAATCTTTCGTTTGACCTCCTGTACTTTTGAGATCTATTTTGGAGAAATATCTCTATTTATAAATTTCGTAAAATTTCGCACATTTGCACAAATATGTTTACGATGTTCTGTGGGTCCAATGCCATGCAGCACCGAACTCAGACCAATTCTTCTATTGTGCTGTTGTTATGTTGAAACTATACTGAACTATTCAAAAAACGTACCTGTTTATTTCTCCATTACATACTGAAGATGAACATCTTAATTTTGAAAAGGTACAGAATAGTAGGGCTTGACTCTCATTCTATTATCTTGACAAAGGTACAGAACAAAAGAATATGAACCTCATTTTATCGTGGCGACTTTTCCACGGGAAGGCCATGACAGGCAAACAGAAATAGAGACGGACAGAAAGTGTTACAGCAATTTACACCTAACATTATATATGGAGACGAAATAAGATCTGAGGTCTGATATGTCTTAAATATTCTAAAAATTTTCTAACCATTGCAGGTTTAGACTATGCTTGCTTTTTCATCTAGCAAATCATTGGCAACTCACAAATCACAGCTGTACAACCGTTGGTATATAAAGTGTCAGAGACCCGCCTGCTGATCTCGCATATGTCATTTTGAATACTATCTATTTAGGTATAGATAGATATTTTGTTATAAATACTGACTCGTTTCATCATTGCTTCATACAATAATTTGTGTACAGTAATCATGCTTTCAATTCGAGTATTGGGTGTGTTCGCCGTTATTGTGGTCGCATTAGTTTTAGTAGAGTCTGACGTTGAACTTTGTGAAGACGATGTGAACGGTAAGTATAACCTTACGGTGAAAATTAGATGTCATCCGAATGCAAAGAAACTGCGGAATGAAATTGTGTTTTTACATCCTAAGATTCGGCTTTAGTTTGAGCTGATGAAGACTGTAGTATGTAGTGAGTGAAATTTACCAGGGCAGTGACAGTCAACGATGTTAAATAACACTCCGAGTCTGATTAAAGAATTGTGTAGGTAGAAAACGTCAAATGCTCAGAACTGTTATCTTCAAAGTGCGTTATCCAATCTTTCCATCTAAATAGGTCAAGACTACAAACCCATAGAAAACAAATATCTAATAACGAACCAATCGAAACTGAAAATGACGCGATAAAGGTACACTTGGTCAAAATATTAATTATGTCGCAGCTCACAGTATTTACCTATTTATTCATTGTTTGCTTGTTTTTTTTTTATATATTTTACTGTATTTCCCATTCCACATATGATGTTGTGTGGTTCTTATACCTACATTGATTATATATTTATTTATTTTAGTTTGTGATGGTGAACTTCCAGCCAATGCGATGTGTTCAGGAGAGAATAATAAAACCAAGCGATGTCAGTGTAAAAAGGGATATAGAATGAGTCTGGACATCGATTGTAAATCGAATGGCTCGGTATTTTCCTGCCAGGGTAAGGTTCTATCTCCTTATCTCTATTATCGTCAGGTTGAAAAATGAAGACATTTTTACTTTTTTTTTATGAGTCTGGTCAACTCATCTACATGAAACCTGGAAATCTTATAGATTTGCAAAAGACTAAAGGCCCCATTAGTGTAGTGGCAATATATTTCGGGCCACGCTCAGTGCTGTTTACAGCCCTAGTCACCTATCTGTTGTTTCTTCAGATATAGATGAATGTGCAACCAATAATGGATCGTGTGAATATAAATGTCAAAATGAACCTGGTAGTTATAACTGTTCGTGTCCAGAGGGGTCTGAATTACAGGAAAACGGTTTGAATTGTGGACCAAGTGAACCAGGTAAAATAGTTATACATTATATATTATATAGGAATATCACATAACTCAAGCTTGATATTTGCCCAAACTTATCAAAATCTCGCACTTTCAGTAAATTATTGGATCAATATAAATAAATAAGTAAAAGTTTGGCTTCCCCTTTCACGAAACTCCAAGTCATTTTCTCGTAAATTTATTTGACTATTTCAGCTGTAAGGTGTCCACAAGGTGTGAATATCACTAACTCTGATGATGTAACAGAATCCAGAATATTTGATGAAGATTTTAGTTTTAATTGTACTCTAATTGGTGTGAAGGGTATTCTGAGATGTGGTGAAAATGGTACCTGGACAGAAAAGCAAGCTTGTCCAAGTATGTGATCAATATTCTTATACATTTCTTTCAATGAAAAAACCAAGATAATTGTGTACATCCAGGGATGACTTTAAACTTGAACATAGAAAGTCCACTTTATTTAAGGTAGTTTAAGTAATAATCGTCACAATATTAGTCGGATTTCTTTAATTTGAAATACTTTCTCACTCCAAAACAAAATACGGTAGAAGCTATATTTGATTCATATAAAGAAAAACTCTTTTTTTATAACGACCAGTATTTATGTTTCAGGTGTAAGAAAAGATTCTTATTTTATTTTGTTTGTGAATGCCGTTAAAATTACCGTACCCGATAGTAATTGTTCAAGAGCTTGTGCTGTCATCTCTACGTGTGGATATACTTATTTAAGCAATCCAGCCGAATGCAGCTATTATCCTATTCCAGTCCTATTCCTGAATCCACTTAGCAATCCAAGTCTTCCTCAATGCATTCAGAAATGTCAAGAAGATACAAAATGCCTGACAATGTCTTACAAAGATACTTGCATTTTATTCAGTGCCAACGAAACCACGGTAGCTGCTTCATTTTATATTGTCATTACAGACGGGGGAATCATTGTTTCTTTTTAGTAGCCCATGTTGCCATCTTAATGAAATCACATGGACCAGGCTATTTTGATTAAAATACGTGTTTACGTGTCCTGTACAGAAGTGTCGTCATTTTTTCATTGCATCTCAAGCGGGTGCACCTCAAGGTTAACAGAATTTCGATCACGTACGATGATCACAAAGCGTCCATAAGAAATTCACCAAACAAATGTTAATAGGTTTCATTTGTATCGGGGACACTGATAATCGTCAAACATGAATTATCACAAAAGAAAGGCTCTTAACGATTGGTGACGTCAAAAAACACTTAGTTTTTTTGGAATTGCAGGAACCACAGACGTTGATTTAATATCGGAATTGTGCAAATTGATGCTATCAGTGTCTCCGATACACATAAAAAATAATAGAAAACCACTTTACAGTCCCTTTAAGACGAAATATACATTTACTCTGTCAACAATTTCATTATGCATCATGTTGACCACAAAGGAACAAAGTAAGTCAATAGAAGGCCCCGGTCCCAAATCTAGGGTCCTTATACCATTTTGTCAAGGGGTGGACCATTGGGACCAGGAACCCGTTTAGATTTACGACTAGATTCAAATGATAATCCCAACCCAAACGAATACTAGATCCACAGGCTTCGCGTGGTTCTGAGTAGTACTAGAGCTTTCAATTAGGTCGCATAAGGGGATTCCCCATTTCATTTCATTTCATGAGGAAAATGCGACCTAATTGAAAGCTCCCATAAAGACCTAAACATCCTACATTTCATAAATCCTTACAGCAAAAGACCTAAATTCCCTACATTTCATAAATTCTTACACCTAAATTCCCTACATTTCATAAATTCCCTACATTTCATACACCAAAAACACCTTCAGGTAAAGCTGTAGTAATAGAAAGATTTAAAAGGACTCTAAAAAATAAATTATTCAAAAAGTTCACGGAATTGAATTCTCAAAAATGGCTTAAAATATTACCAGTTGTTGTAGATGAATACAATAACAAAATACATTCGTCTATAGGTGTCACACCAACACAAGCCTCGAGTAATCCAAATATAATAAAGTCAAATAACGCCCAACATAACTATGAAATAAAGAATTTAAATATTAAACCGAAATTTAAAGTAGGAGATCGCGTTCGTATTTTCAAATATAAAAGTAAATTCGAAAAAGGTTACGTTGGATACTGGACGAACGAAATATTTATCGTTGGTAAAGTAAACACCACATCACCTCCGACATATGAATTAATCGATCAAGACAAAGAACAAATCATAGGTAGGTTTTATCAAAATGAACTTCAAAAAACCGACTTTTGAAAATGAATGATGAAGAATTTGATAGAAGATTAAGAGATGTAGACAAGCATTTACGCTTTAAATTTTTTAAATTTAAATGCAAATTTATGTTCAAAATATTATTGAATGTAATACAATTTTTTTCAAACACAAACTACGTATATATTTCAAAAAAACGGACTTTTAAAAATGAATGAATTTCTCGATAAATATGGAACCGATACAACCACAAACTTTCAACTTATGAAATGGGCGAATGAGTTATATATATCACCGTTTTATTATTGTATGAGAGATGAAATAAATGATCTGAAATATAAGAAAGGTAAATTTTACGCTATAACAAATATACATACTTCCGATCAAAAGAGTTCATCATTCTGCTTTGTACAAAGACTCTGACTTTTATTTCTTCGATTCTTATGGATTAGAACCCACTGAAGAGATAATCCAATTGACTAATAAACCAATCAAATGTTCAACATTTCAAATTCAATTACCGGGACAAAAGTTTTGTGGTCAGCTTTCACTTTGGGTTTTATATCAGTTGAGTTTAGGAAAACAGTTTGAAGAAATTGTAATAAATTTAACTCAATAAAAATGGCGAATAAGTTTGGATTAGGTTCTTTATCTTTAGAAACTAAAAAACCTAACACTACAGCGTGGATAAATAAATCGAAACCTTACTTTGTGGATCAAATCGGAGATACTCTTCAAGGTGATTTAGATATGAACAATTTTAGCATAACTAATTTAAAGTCTCCGGAAAACGATAATGATGCCATTCACAAGAAATATTTAATGGAACAATTAAATTTAATTGAAGTAAATAAAGGACATTTAAACGAAAGAATAGGCGATATCAACTAAATAATAAAAATTTTATTGATGATAATAAATTACAACAAGAAGTAACAAGTTTAAAAAATTTTATTCAACAACAATTAGTCAATGTAGTAGATAAAACTCAGTTACAAACTTTAAGTTCATTAATATCTAATTTAGATGATAAGATTACAAAGCAAAAAATAGATCTTAAACAACTAATAGCCAATATTAATCCAGGTATAATTGAAGACAAATTGCAACGGGAATTAACTAAATTTAAAACTGAATTACAAAAAGAAATAACAAATATTCAACAACAAATACAAAACATAGATGATAGCGAAATCAAAACCCATATTCATCAACAAATACAGAACATTGATGATAGTGTTATTCAACAACAGATAACCACTATTAATAACCTAGTTTTAAAACAGGATAAAAATATACTAGCATTAGAAAAAAAGTTTCTCAAGAAAGAATCATATTATTTCTATCTTCTATTTCGAAATTTGAGAGATGAGAATGCTTCTATTACTGATAATATTGATAAATCAAAAGACTATGAATATAAAACATATGGATTTACAGCAAATATTAGACTATATTCTGTTCCAAATTATACTATTTTCCCCTATAATTTTTTTGATAAAGATGATGATAATGGTTTTTATTTCAATGGAAAACTTGTAATACAGCTAAAAGTTGATTCATTATTCTTCAGACATTCTTTCAAGCAATTAAAAGATTAAACGTTAAAAAAGTTCTTCATTTTATCAATGGTAGAAAAATTGTAGAAACTAAAGAATATGAAAGTAACGACGAAAACAACAAGGTTGATCACTTATATGAAATTAAATCGAGTGGAAAATATATAGATAGGTTTAGAATGTTAATCATACCAGATAAAGAAGAAGATTTTCTTACTCTGAGTGATTTTGATATGATAATGGAGACTGAAACTCCACCATCAACGAATATTATTAGAAATCCAGAACCACAAAAAAATGATATAAGCTTTTATGAGTTTTTACGAGCAACAGACTTTGAATACGTAAAACTATATTTTGTTGATAATGATATATTTACCTCACTCGATATTCATAAATGTCAACAAAATCAAAAATTTTTAATAAGAGATGGTGTATATGTTTATATATCAATCTATATTGAAAAACCAAAATTTTCAGTTCATCTGAATAAGATTAATGATTCGAAAGAACAAATATCATTAGTAACTGTAAATGTTTTTATTGAAGATAGTAAACACGAAGTAGCTTTATCAGAAATTCACTTAATTTAATTACCTAAAATGGAACTCGAAAGTAGACAAAACTACATGATAGAAAAACAAAACGAACTAAAAGAAAAACTAAAACAATTCAACAAATGTAGAAAAACATGGAGTAAAATCGATTCTGTTTTCAAAACATTAAGTACAGTTTTAACAGTAGGGATAACGATGGCAACAGCCGTAACTGGTGGATTAATGCTTTCAATAATTGTCCCAACTGTATTAGCCGCGTTCACCGCCGTTCAAACTTCATCTTGTGGTTTGATTACTTTAGGTTTTACATCAAAACAGAAAGCTCATTATAAAAAGAAAACAGAAATTTTAAATACATATCTTAATAAATTATTCATTTTTTTCGAAAGATCGAGAGAAGATAAGAACATAACCATTGAAGAATTAGAAAAATTCAATGAAATTTTAGATAAATTTAGAAATATCATCAATAAAAGTTAAAAATTCCTAGTTAAAAATAGTTGCTTAAAAAATATGAATAAAATTGATAAAATTATATCAAGTGATCTTTTTTCCAATGTTATTGAGCAAATCGTTGACGAATTTATATCATTTAACGGACAAATTGAATTAGATGGAAAGATAACTCAAGATGGAAAATACATACAAGACATAAAATTTGTAGGTTCTGATCGCATAACTGTAATGGTAATTCGGATATTTCTTATTGGTATTTCACAGGAAAAATGATTTTCCATAAAAAGTCTAGTGGTGATCAAAGCTCATTATAATTTTTTTTTTCGAGACAATAAAAATTCCTAGTTAAAAAGACTTGCTTTAAAAATATGAATAAAATTGAAATTGTAGACGATAAAAAATTCATACCAGTGAAAATTTTAGACGATATTATTGACAAGATTATCTCTGATGAATTAAAAAATATGAAAAAAAGGATAAATTCATATCAAATGAACTTTTTTTCGATGTTATTCACCTTATCTCTGATGAGTTTATAACATTTAAAGGGCAAATTGAAATAGTTGGAGAGATAACTCAAGATGGAAAATACAAACAAGACATGAAATTTGTAGGTTTTAATACCAAAACTTTTGTCAATTTCTTCGCTGCACTGGATGAAAAATCAGATGCCTCCGATTGGTATTTCACAGGAAAAATCATTTTCCGTAAAAACAATTTCAAAGAAATAAAAAGATCAAAAAAGGGTAGTGGTGTTAGCCTACTCAAAAAGATAAAAGAATATATCGGTATAAATTGTTATATACCGAGCGATGGATGCTGCTTTGTAAAGTGCGTTAATCGTGTTTGAAACGAAGGCTACACGAGAGAATTTCAAGATTTCATCAACAGTTTTCAAAAATCAAACAGAAAAGTTATGACAACTGCTAGAATTTGCGAATTCAATAAGAAATTTAATACTAATTTTCAAATATATATGCCCAAACATAGACATTTTCAACCAAAGAAAGTAACCGAAGAATTAGATTGGGTTTTTTATTTACACAAAGAACATTTCTGTTTGATAAGAAGAAATAACAAAGCTTTTGGCATTAAAGAAATAGAAGATAATTACGATGAAAACGTATGGAGAAGTTTCACTTCTAAAACTAAACGTTTTTCCAACCATTGCCGATTATTGTTTATACGCATGGGATTGCGAAACCTATTGCGAAAAAGAAACGAATAAAGCCATTCCTTATTGTTGTACTTTAGTCAATTTGGAAAAACTGAGGAAAAGATTAGATGATTATAATAATTACTTAAGTGATTTAAGTGATTTTAATGAGACTCTAGATTATAAGCCGTCAGATCCCATTTCAGAAATATTTGTAGGTACAGATTGTATAGATCAAATGTTACAACGTTTAGGAAAAGTAGATCAGAAAAGACTAACCTTAATTTCCCATAACGGCAGTGGTTTTGATAACTGGATCATGATCAAAAACTTAAAAAAACTAACACAATGCCCTTTAAAAACAGCTAGAGGAATTCTGTCTCTACCTTTAACTAATTCATTCACTGATGAATATTTACAGAAAAAATGGAAAAGACAGAAAGATATAAAGGGTAACTCTAATTATTTGCAAAATATTAATTTAACATGTTCCTATCAACACGAATCATCTAGTTTGGCAGCATGGGGAAATTCATCTAATCTACCAATGAATTTGAGAAAGATCGAGGATGTTAATATTGCAAAATACACTAAAGATAATTGGGAATCTTTAAGACCTGAATGGGAACCTTACGCTAAAAGAGATACTCTATGTCTCGGAGCTTGTTTGATAAAATACAATCAAGCCATGAAAAAAACTGTCTTCCAAAACGTTTCCAATAATCTAACGTCTCCTTCTTTATCTTTAAAGGGTTGGTATTATTTATATCATTACGATAAAGAAATGGTTGAAGAAGAATGGTATGAAAGTACTAGAATGGTTCCGAAACATACGGAAAAACAAAACGTAGAAAAAGTTTACTCGCATACTCACCCTTTTATAAGATATTTTATCAGACAAAGTATTAAAGGAGGAAGAGTTTCGGCAAATCGAAAATCATTTGAAACGGATAAAATGAATGAGATCTGCGCCATATTAAAAGAATACAATGAAAGTGACACTGAAGGAATAATAGATTTATTCAAAGAATACAGTGTTAACCCAAAAGATAAAACGGAAGTTCACGCTAAACTCAAAGAACTGGACTATTCTAAACTGATGGCATTTGACGCTAATGGGTTGTACGCTTCCGCCATGACAGAAGGTGAATATCCTAAAGCGGAAAGTGCAGGAGCGTTTCTACCAGAAGAAGAAAAAGAATTTGTAAAACTCTTCAATAAACAAAAATTCAGACCTAGAACTGCTATTTTAAAAGTTTGGTTTGAATATCCCAAAAAAATGTTCTTTCAACCCATACCAGCTAAAGATAAAATGACTTTTACGAATAGAATAGGTCAGAAGGAAACTGGCACTAAAATCAGGTTCAGAAATGGTTTCTGTCACGACGTTTTAACATCAGTTGATATTCAAGAAATAGTGAAATCCGGTGGTAAAATTATTAGAATATTAGATGGTATAGTTTACGAAGAAAATTTTAAAACTCCACCATACAGAGATTATATTTTAATTTTGAAGGAATTAAGGAATAAATACAAAAAAGAAGGAGATATGGTTGCTAGTAATTGCATGAAATTATTAGGTAATTCCTTATACGGTAAATCTATTCAAAAGGATATAAATACATCGAGACATCTATGGAGTGAAGCCAACTTCGATTCACACGTCAAAAGCTATGAAAAAGTAAATGATAGTCAATATATAGTTGAGATGAATGAAGAAGAAAAAGAGTTTGTTCCTCCAAAGGAGGAGGAGATTAACACCCACTCATTTAGGTGCATTTATATTATCTCACAGTAAAAAAATAATGAACAATTTCATTCACGTAATAGATGGATTTTATAAGCCGGAAATATACTATACAGATACCGATAGTTTATACATTTCGTCTAGCAATTGGGATAAATTAAATGAAGCTGGGTTGGTGTCTGAAAACGAATATAGCAAAGGGAAGAATGATTACGGTGATGGTGGAATCATATTTGGTTTATATTTAGCGCCAAAAGTAAAATACAATATCATTCTAACTTCCGATGGTGTTTTAAAAGAAAAGAAAACGTTTAAGGGTTACTCTAACTAAAAGATTAATGTAGAAGACTACATTCAATTAGCTAGTGGACATGACGTAACGAATGAATTTAAGAAACCTTGGGTAAAAAGTTTTACTGATGGAATAGTTATTCCTAATGAAAAACAAAAGAAAGTTTTCAGAAGTTATCTGAATCTCGTTAAGAGAAAAGCACCAAACAGTGAAGGAATTATGTATCCTTACAACAATAAAGATGAGATGTGTTGGATGAAAACTATGAATTTGATGATTTCGATTATCTAACTATTCAAGAAGAGAATGAAGAGTGTTAAATTTTTTGTTTTAAATGAAGTTGAATAACAATTTCCTCATTACCAAAATCTATAAACCTATTTTTACCATCTTTGATTTCCAGTTTTATATCTTTAATCATAAAGGAATTAAGTGGTAAATACGTCGTTTGAAATGGTTTCTCTATAATTCTATATCCCATCAGTACAGTGAATGTTGGAAGACTGTAAATAATCTGACGTTTGTATTTGTTGAAAAATCCACCGTTTATTAAATTGCAATGTATATTTATCACATCGATATCATTCTCGATATTAGCTTAGTGTGGTGCTAAAGTGGATTGGGTGTATATTTTTTTTATCAAATCCTAGTAAAGTATTCAATGAATTTTCTACGTTGAAATCAACTTGACTATTATTTCTTAATATCAATTTTATTTTGTTTAGATTCAAATTACCTTCGAAATCGATATTGTTTTTACCATTGACGCTTCCTGCGTATTCAGATAAGTATTCGTTAATGGCTATGTATTCATAGCTTCCTGGTAGTAAACGTATGGTTTTGAATGTAACTCCATTATCTGTTGATATTTTTATTTGGTTATTTTTTTCGTTGATATTTCTAATGGAATTGTAAACAGAGAAATACTTTAATCCCAATTCATATTCTTGATTGCGATCGAGTTCGTACTCATAATCTAGAGACAATTTGATGTCCGATTTATTCGAGGTGATGACGAATAGTTGTTCTTTATTTGACATTTTTAATCACGCTTTTATAATCATTTTTATCTATGATACCTTTCTCTAAGAGTCTTTTTAATATACAATTCACTTCATTAAATTGTCTGTGCGATTGATGTCCTTCCTTCATGGCCGCTAATATTACTCGTAATCTATTAAGCAATTCTTCGTTGTTGTCGGATAAAAACGTTATACCTTCTCCAGATACCATATCTTCGAATTCGTCTATTTCTTGTATGATTGGTGGATAATCTTCTGCATAATCATCTGATTCCTCTTCATCAGGAATAACTTTATTTAAATATGTTTCAACCGTTTTTAATCTTCTTGTTTCGGGTCCTGACTTTCTTATTGCATTTAGAAATTTGGAGTATGCTACTAAATCCTTGTAATCGGCAATACCAACATCCTCGCCATTCATTAAATCTATTAATCCTTTCGTTAATGTGTATATATAATCTTTTGTGTCGATTTTGAATTGTGGTGAATTTCCACTAAATATAATTCTAAATCCATTAAACAATAAACCTTGATTATCAACGATTCGTGAAATGCTCTTTGGTAAATCTGGGTTAGGGTTTGAAAAAAGACGATTTATATCATCTAATGTCCTAATTATAACACCACTATATTCAATCGCTTTGGGAGGTGTAGGTTCTATAGGAGGTTTATATTCTAATTTCCTTTTAATATCCTCTTGAGATTTTAATATGGGTTGAAATAGAGTCTGTAGATTTTCCGTTAATCCGAGTTGTTGTAATCTGTTATTTTCAACTTGGGTCTTTATTTTATTCTTAGCTTTGATATATTCTCTATTCTTTTA